ACCAAATAATTCTGAATTCACCAGTAGATCAGACAACACTACCCGTTTTCAAGGTGTGCGTCAGTACGCGCTTCGAAGTATCAGACACGACACAGCTCTTGCCTAGTATGCGATGTGATAGTGATGATTCTCAGCGGGGTTAGAAAGAANCGATAAGGCCCAGTCCACAGATGCTCCATTTTTCCTCCCTTTCTTCCAATGTTTTTCATAGCCCTTTTCATGATCATGTCTCCAACTGAAAGGTCAAAGGATTTGACGCCTTTTGCCTTTCTCTTTGCAAAATTCTCCTTCTGTTTTGTTTGGGCCTTTTCCACATTCTCTTGTACCTAAGAAAAACACATAAGAAAAATATAGACAGTGAAGATGGCACATATACAGGCATCAAATTAACTAATAACTTTGAGGCAAAAAGCTATATCAGTATTTAGGTTAGTGAAGTAACAATGAAAAAAAGTGCACCATGACAGAGGCAGGTGATGGCTACGTACACTGTATCTGTACATTAAAATACTATGTCCTAGTAATGAATGCACAGTTGCTTATTAGAAACACAAATATAACACCTATAGGCAGTCATAAAACAAGAAGAGTATTTCATATTCAAATACAATTTTGATACAACTGTAACATGCTAGAACCCTTTAATGAAGCACATTATGTGTGTCTTTGTACTTACAACTTTCTTGGTGACATCTAGCAATGCCTCTCTATGGTTGACCATGTCTTCCAGAACTTCAATACTTTCACCATCTGTGGCATTCATCTAAAAATGGAAATCACAATTGAAATTAGAAAACCTCTTTAAAATTCATCATGTTATTTTTTTTAACACAGGAGAAATGTTTCATGCTTCCTACTTCATTTAAGATAAAGACAGGATCAGTAGCATGACTAGCAGACAGCCTGTTAATTAAAATAATCAGAAGAATGAAAAATAGGTAGGTAAATTAAATATTTGTAGTGCAGCCATTTAAGCATATACAGTATAGAAATAACTGATAATCAAAAAAAGGTCTACATGATATAAAAGATTTTAATTTAAAAATAGGTTTGATATAAATGACAAGACCAAAGCATATCATATTTAATACACATTTTGGCTGCACATAGACTGCTTTTCAAACACAATTTCAGTGATGTAACAAACCTATTACTGAGATGTCAGAAAATCATAATAAATATGTTCCAAATTTTATCTTGTCTAAATCATTAAAATTTTAAATCTAGTATTACCTCCTTCAGAGATCTAGGGTGCCTCCCAAACATTAGAAAAAAGGGTGAACTTTGTGGATGCTTGCTTTTGTGTCCTGATCGAATACGCCACATCCTCCAAATAAGTATCCCAGTCATTCTGGTGTTCATTAATGAGCTTGCTCAATCGAGTCTTTAGTGTCTGGTTTGTCCTCTCATCCAGACCATTGGTCTGAGGATGATAGGCACTTGTCACAGACCTCTTTATGCTTATTTCAGCCACAAACTGTCTTCCTTGGTCTGACAGGAGCCTTTTTGGTGCTCCCCACCTGACAATTCAAAATGAAATCCCATTCAAACCAACCAAAAACATGATTATCATACAGACCATTACAATAGGGCAATAATATAATATGGGACTTAGTATTCAGAATTAAACACCACTTGTATTTCAGAGAGTGAGGACAATAGTTTACTTGATGTTACTTTAAAATGGGGTCTACTTTATCATTTACTTACTTGCTTTGTGCTTTCTTGTTGGGAAGTGTTGTATGAAAATACACAGCCTGGTAGCACCTGGTAGTACATTGTAATATCAGTATATGCATATCACTAACACTCCATTCACAGTAATATAAATCCAAAGGTTGTAAAAGAATAGTAATATCTGTAAATTTCACTCAATGTCACTGTGCATATGTTTGATAATTGTCTGCTTTTCTTCTTCATTTTCTACCACGGTGCGCCATGGTCTGTAAGTTAATTGGTTGCTCTTTCAAACGTTGCCTCAATCAGCCAAGAATGTGATCACATTTATCTGCAGACAAACTAAGCCTTTGGCATGTTGTATGGAAACATGTGTTAGCTTTCCTATATGTTGATCTTTTGTGAACACCTCAAATTTCGATTGGCAGTGTTCATCGCCGAGAGACATCATCACCATAGCTCTTCACTCATTACAGATGGATACAATTTCTGGACACTGTTTTTGATATATGTATAGTCTAGTCTTTGTGGTGAGCAGATTGGTCTTTTGTTATATTGCGCTGTCCGTGAGCCCCCCATGTTCCTCGTTGGGTCAAGGCGTTCTTCTTTAGAATATATCCTGCCCATTAACAGAACGCAAAAGTTACTTGGCCCCCTAGATTTCACTTTTAAGACGTCTAACTCGTCTATGTAAGACCAGACCTCCGACGGGATGTTTCCATCACACGGTCTTATTGCCTGATGATGCGTCATCTATCCTACTTTGTCTAATTGCTGTTTGTTGCTTACCTTGTAAATCTCAAGCCAAAATGTCCAAAGTATACACTAACCTGTCCATACCTGGCGGGATAACTGCATCTTGTTCCTGATTGTTGTGTCTTTCCGCCATCTTCACTGTGTGCTGGTTCAGTTCTCTCTGACAATAACAAAAATCTCAAAATGGAATTGTGTGCGAGCTGCCGCCAAATCTGAGTTCTTACAGATACCGAGGGGTATATTTTACTCTAAGGTCTCTAATCTGTCTGCTGAAGATTCAAGATTCGGTCCACCATTCCCAACTTGGGTTACGCCACAGCTTAGTTATAAAATCTTAAACTATTTATTTCTAGGCTGCTGCCTTGTTTTATACCTCAAATATTGGCGTGACAGACGGCGTGGCCACAAATTATCATAACTTTAGGTAATGGAAAATCAAATGAGATAAAATTAAAGTTGACTGGGACAAATTAAAGAGATAGGAACAATTACATTACTACTTATCCCCATTAAGGTCTTCATAGAAAAAACAAGACTGTGTCCATAAGGGACCCAATTCAACTACTGTGTCACATAAATGAACAAAGCAATGTACATTGTAAGTTTCATTTCGAGGTAAATGCAAACAATCAATCAGAGCACAAAATAATTTCAAGAGAACTCTTGCTCTGCTACGTACAACAGAATGAAAAACACGCTAGCTGTTTTCATTTATGCATTTGTAAATAAAATGGACTGTCGGTACCTGATGCTGGTTTGTTTAATCTGAAGAACCATTTTAGCAACATTTTCAAGTGTATTCTCCAAAATGGAGGCAACTGCAAACCTCTCCTATTTCCCATATTCAAAAATGTAAGTAAATGTCCTATGCTGAAATAAAATAACACTATAAGGTCAAATACAAGTAAATATATGTTTTTTTTACTGTTATACTAATGTAGAGAAATGGTAGGTTTCATATTAGCAATATAATAAGGTACAGTTAATAGTTCGCCAGTACAGTTTACGTCCGCCTAATTTTTCATCAAGGCTATCAATTAGACTATTGTAATAGGCTTCCTTTGTGTCCTTTATCAGTTTATTTACCAGAGCAGACTGAGCCTTATAACCATTTGTATTATCCTGCTTAGGAGTAATTCTCATTTTAGCATATAATTTCTTTTTTCTGAGAATTTCATGCCATAACCTGTCACAGGACCAAGGCTTGTAATTTGCTTTTAATACTTCTTTTTTTTTGTGGTATGTACTTCTTATAGATAAAAAGTAGTTTGTCTGTAAAGTTTCAAGCAATTTCATGCACATTATCTAAGTGTCGAAAAAAGTTTTCCTAATCAAATCCATTTATTTTGTTATTTATTCCTACTACATTAACTTTATCATATTTCCAAATAGTCTTTTGATGGGGATTACGGTAATTCTCCAATCTATACGAACGATTTAAATTAATTATTTTTGGAAGATAATCATTTTGTTCGTAAGGCTTGAAATTCAGTCTGCTAAAAATTGCCACGCGTTCGTATCCATTGAAATACGGATGGAATACGGCTGTACCTGAAGTTATCTCCACTTACCTACATTGCTAAGTGTAAGCATTACTTTCAGATTAAATCACTGTGATCAGCTAAAAGCACAAACAAATTATTCTTGCGATATTGCAATGAATTAAAACAAACTAAACAAAAGTCGGGAATTCAAGTTAAAAAACAATTTCTTCATACTAAAGAGGTACATTTCTCCCAAGACAAGACAACATCGTTTTTCCCTGTTATGTTTTACCAAGACAGGACAACATGGTTTTTCCCAACTTCTGTCAAAAACAGACAAGAATATTTTCGTATCCAGTTGCATATTTTATTTATTGCGTGACTTTTAATATGATTTCACATATAGAAAATTTGCAATATTAATAATGTCACCCCCCCCCCCCCCCCCCATTAGGCCTACATAAATTTCTCCCACCAAAANACGAGAAATGACACATTATAAGTTAAGTTATTTGCATAGCTCTGCCCCGTTTTCTCCTGAATTAGCAAATAATAGTTTGGCATTTAGTTTGGGTGGCGCTAGCTACATGCGTGACTAGATGGGTTCACGACACTCTAGATTTTACAATACAACGCAGTGTTTCCCCTGGTTTTCAATGTCTTTGAGGAGTAGGCCAATTTTGGGTCTCAGCAAAAACTAGGGGGGTCTGGGGGTATGCTCCCCTGGAAATTTTTTTAAATCATGGTGCAGTCTGGTGCATTTTAGGCTATTTGAACAGATTTTTCAACATTTTATGTGGCACATAATTGTCTTGTTTCAGATGTCTTGAAGAGTAAATGAAGTAATAACCTGTTAAAAAATCATTAATTAAGAATAGCATACTTTAAACATCAACCAAAAACTTGGCTAATTATAGTTTGCAATGATAATTCTGGATAAAATGAAGATTCAACTTGCTTGGCACATAAGTAAGCCCTGGCTGTGGGCCAAGCTGCTCCCAGTATCCCAGCTATTAACACTTACCAGGAAACTATAAACTCTTTGTTTCTATACTTCAAGAACTCTGTTGTTCGTTACAAAGATGATGAGTTTCTAACACTGAAGCATCCCTTGGCAGTAAGGTAGCTCTCTTTGGAGCAGGCAGTAGAAAGCATCCTAAATAAAATTGCTGGACCAGTGTGATTGTTGTTTTAGAGGAAGATGCTGTGCGGAACCCAGTGGCTAATGGCTTACCGAGGAAAGTCAATGACAATGTTTTCCTGGCTATATCCTGTTTCATGTAAGATGTCCTGCCATTGTGTAGAAGGTAAAAATATGCTTTGGCTTAATTTTGATTTAAGTGTTCTTTAAAGCCCGAGTTTATCAGAAGTTTGTGTAACTTTTTTCTCATTTTTTAATTACTAAAACAAATATTTATTAACCTTCAATTTTTGAAATCTTGTATATTAAGAAAAAAAAGGACAGTGATTATTTGTATTTTATTTAACCTTCTATTTCTTTTGTTTTTCAGGTTGTCTAAATGCTTTCAACTGTAGAACCTGGATTTGACACTGGCTCTCGATGCCTGGGCACAGTAAGGGGAACTCTGGCTACATACAGACAGGACCGTGATCTTTTGTTAACATTGTCCCAGATGGAGAGCGAAATTCAAAACACAGGGCAATATTAAGGGCAAGACGTTAGAAAGACTGATCCTGAGGAACATGCATTCAATACAGCAAAAAGTAAGCATTTCATGTAAATTAGATATTGTTGGATCATCAGATTATATTAGTCCTTTTTTTTTTCTTAATTAATTTCAGGGTTATATTTGACTAGGGTTCATTTGAATAACTATAAAAATACTTTTTGGATTGGAAAAGTGCAATCTATGTTACTTAATGTTAATTTTATTTTCAGACAGATTCTTTGAGAATTTGGATAAAAGATTTCCTTTGGCAAGTATGGCAACAATGAATGCCTTTGATGTGCAGTTAAATCCCAAGAGGTTCCCAGATGTTCCTCAAGACATTGGGCCTTATGGACAACAGGAACTTGATCACCTCCTTGCAGAGAACTCCCAAGTCATGGATACAGACATGTCAGAGAGACTTTTTACCTTTCAAGCACCCCAATTTTTAATTTGTCTCTTGCGGAGATAGATTTGTCTTTGCCAGATCCTGTGAGGATTTGATCCTTAACTATCCTGATGATTTTCCTGATTTTGTAGTGTTTGTTCAGATAGCTATTTGAATTCCCTTGAATAGTGCATCGTGTGAAAGAGGTTTTTCTGTTCATTATTTGAATAAAACAAAGATCAGAAATCGATGAGGTGAGGTGCAATTGGAGTACATTATGAAAATAACAATAAATGGGCCACATTTTGCCCAATTTGATTACGGTAATTCTCCAATCTATACGAACGATTTAAATTAATTATTTTTGGAAGATGATAATTTTGTTCGTAAGGCTTGAAATTCAGTCTGCTAAAAATTGCCACGCGTTCGTATCCATTGAAATACGGATGGAATACGGCTGTACCTGAAGTTATCTCCACTTACCTACATTGCTAAGTGTAAGCATTACTTTCAGATTAAATCACTGTGATCAGCTAAAAACACAAACAAATTATTCTTGCGATATTGCAATGAATTAAAACAAACTAAACAAAAGTCGGGAATTCAAGTTAAAAAACAATTTCTTCATACTAAAGAGGTACATTGCTCCCAAGACAAGACAACATCGTTTTTCCCTGTTATGTTTTACCATAGAAGTAGTTTTACCAAGACAGGACAACATCGTTTTTCCTAACTTCTGTCAAAAACAGACAAGAATATTTTCGTATCCAGTTGCATATTTTATTTATTGCGTGTTTACTTTTAATATGATTTCACATATAGAAAATTTGCAATATTAATAATGTCACCCCCCCCCCCAATTAGGCCTACATAAATTTCTCCCGCCAAAACAAAATACTTGAAACTCCTCACAGTAGATATCACTGACGTTAATAGAGATTATACTTGATATAAAAAATAACATCAGCTCAATTCAAGTCTATTTATGAAAGTCTTTTACAGCATATTAATTTGCACGCAATCAATGTAAACTTAATTAGAAAAAATACAGAAAACTGCAGGCAAATTTGTATAAGGTCATACGGCACCTTTATTTTTCACAATCACTAATATCAGTAAGGTTTACCTAAAAGTTGTTCATGAGACAAGGTCTTAAACAGGCAAAAACAAACAAACAAACAAAAAAAGTACATTAACTTTACCACAACTCAAATTAGAAAAATAAATACAATACAAGACAGAACTCCTCTTTAAAAAATTAATTTCCTGATGACTACCAAAACCAAATGAAAAACTCAATCATTGACAATGGATTTCTCATACTCTTCTGTTGTGCGTGGGTTTCAAGTTTATAGATTTTACTAGAAACCAGTTATCGGTGAAACACTGATGGTGGATGCTGATGATCCAGTCGGCCGGCAGAAGTTAAGAAATGATAATAAACAGTAAGTAATTTATGTGTAGTGATGCTTTCAATAATTTCTAAATAACAATAGGGTTTTAAAACTACTGGCCTGTAGCTGCCGGTGGGCAGGTTGAGTCCTCCTATCGTCTCATTCAAAAACAACACAAATACATGATAACAATCTCTCCTGTCAAGTGGCAGTTCCTTTGTTTGGAACGGTGGTCTGAAAAACTCGCTTTGACGAATCATGGGGTGAGTATCAATCGGGCACACTTTCTTGCGTTCGGAAAATTTAAATTGTGCCCAAGGTGAGTTTAGCGATCGTTCGTACAGAACGGAGACAAAAAATTCAGATTCAGAGAAAAAACGTTTTGTTCGTAATTATTGCGGCGTTCTTATAGATTGGAGAATTACCGTATACACAAGCTAAAGCACATTTGCGTGCTTTGAGACAGAGGCGACAGTGACTTCAACATCTAACTTTTTGTTGCAATGATAATTTTGGGTAGAGTCTTAGGCTGGAAGAATGTAAATATAACTTTATTTTAGATACAAATAGTGTTTTATGCAATTTTTGTAAAAATAATGTGCGTATCATGTATATTACGATGGGCACATATGTAGTTTAAAAGGAGCACATTCTTCTAATAAATAGCTTTAAGGAATTGAATGTGTTTTGCTTTTCAGTGAATTGAATGTGTTTTGCTTTTTAAACTGGTATCGTGAAAAGTGAGACTCTAACATTCTTTCAGGCACTCTGTTTTTCTGACCTCCTCGAGGCCCTGTGACTCAACTTTTAACAAAATTATTGAGAACACACAATTATTTCTGAGAAGTTTCACGCTAGCTGAAAGTGAAAGAAGTGTGCACACATAATTTTTTTTCCAATTGAGCTAGAGAATAGAGACTTGCAGTTTGGTATGTACACAGATAGCCACGTATTTGAGTATGAATAAACTCTTAAAATTTTTTGATTTGTCTCATTTAGATCAAAAGTTATTCATGTTTTAGGGACACCATGTCTGTCTGTCTGTTTTTTTTTTTTTTTTTTTTTTAGATGCCATTTTTAATAATGAGTCACCCCCTAAATGTAATGAAAACTTGAACTTTACCACATAAGAAGTTGAGCTACATACGAACACTCAAAAAAATTTTGGTTTTAGCATTTTCCCAAGCTGAGTTATATGTTTGTGAAGTAGGCAGAGTGATAGATATTTGGGTCCACATGTGCTTGTAGTAGGGGAAATACAAATTGATGCAATATATCTCTCAACTTGTATGCAGTAGAGAGTGATCTTTTAATTTGGCTAAATGGGGGAAAAGAAGGGGTGGATAACAAAAAAAGAAAAAGAAAAAAAATATTTGGACAAGTAGACATGCTGATCAAAAAACTTTAGTCTTTGTTCTTCTATATGGTATATATTTTGTCTTGCCAAACTTTGCCAAATTAAAAAAAAATCATTTAGAAATGCTGCCCTTAAAAATCTTCCCTTGAAAATTTTCCTTGATCTTCAAAACAGTACCCAAGATGAAGTAACAACTATTTTCAATCACCCTTCAAGGTATGCTTGTTCCTGGTGAATAAGTTTAGACTAGGCAAGCAGTGTAAGAATGGGTTGACAGTTTTTATGGCAGTTCATGATAAAAAGAAAAATGAGAAAATTTATCTACTCAGAACAAAAGTGCCTGCTAAATTAACTCATTTAAATAATAATAATATTTTAATAATAATTATAATGTCTTGTTATCTAGCAAGCTCAGTGAAAATAGAAAATATGAGACAAAGTGCAAATAAATAATGGGTGTATTTCTTTTTCCAGGCCCAAATCAAAAGTAAAGCAGATGAAGCATTTGAGGAGGTAAGCCTAAGAATTGGCACTGAGTAAAAACAAAAGGTGGATATTTTGAAGTATATTAATGATAATGACATTAACATTTTTCATTTATAAGGAAAGACTCTCCATCTTTGTTAAATGTCTTTATAAGAAGAACAGCTGAACAGTATTGTATATTACATTTGTTATACTGTTTCACATGCTGAGTGAAAAACAGGTCAGATTAAATGTCATACGTATCATTTATTACTTTTTACCCATTTTCAGCTGCTGTCTGTATGTAAAGAACATGTAAAAGATGACAAGAAAATAATAGAATTTTTGAAAAAACGGCACAGTGCTGCCAGTTCTTCCTACACTCAAATGGATGAATTTTGTGACCGTGTCGCCATAACAAGGGCCAAAATTGAGAGTGAGCCTAAACGCATTTATGTGCATCTCATTGAATTGGCCAATGAACTTAAAGCATATAAAAGAAAGCAAGAAAGACCTTTGTCGAGTAAAAAAAGAAAGGCTGAGGATTTGAACAGTGAGGAAGAGAAGGCAAATGTGAAGAAATTGACTTTACCAGGGACAGCTCATTCAGAGATTGTTTCTAGAGGAAATGATTTAAAACGACATTCAGCTCTTGAAATACAAACTTCTGTATCTGAAGGTGAGAGCAGTTATCAGTCTGATAATCTGTTCACAAATAAAAAACCCGGTGCTGGGCATGGAGCTGGTTTGGATTCCTGGACCAGTGGTGCTGAAGACTCTAATCATACTTCTGCTCATAAAGATAATGGTGCGGCAACCAGTGGTGCTAACAAGACAAGTGGACCTGGTGCTGGTGAAAGAGGCAGGGAAAAAAAGACTGGCTCTGGGAGACAGATACAGAAACTGGAAAAATTACTGGAGGTAACTACTGGTTCCTGTGTATAATAAATGTGGAAATTATATGAAAGCAAAGGTTTAGCCAGCTAGCTGTCCAGACAACCTCTTCTATCAGAGGGCAGCTATATGACAGCTGGTTTGTTTAATTTCTTACAAGTGGAAGATCTGTTAAAATATCTATGATCCTGCATAGAAATATTGATATCTTCAGGATGAAAAAAAGGAGATAAAAGGGGATGGGGGAACTGACGTTTTTTATAATTTGTAGAATTTTTTCACCAATTTCCCTGAGTGTGATTTGTTGCTGATAAAGCTGGTAATACTACCACCACCCTTAAAACTGGAACGAACTTGACAGTATTTTGTGAAGTAGATTTGGGATTGTAGATATTGGTAGAAAGTCTTTTATATACTGACTGAGAGGCGAGTCTATGAGCAGTGTGAAAACATTTTTCAGTTTATTGTATGTCTCTTCAAGTTATATTAAATGAAATAATTTTTCTCCCTTTTCTTTACAGGATATCAGTAAAGCAATAAAAAAGTTACAGGAGAAAGAGCTAGATCTAGATGCTTTGGATGATGAGGACTCCGCTTATTTGCAAGAGGAAAGGTTGCAGAAGAGATTTGTTAAAGTTTGGAACAAGATTTGTGATCTTAAGGGGAGAGCACCAGCCACAGGGCGCCCCACAGAGCTCAAGTTTAGATATGAGGGTATTTATTTATTTATTTAATTTTACATGTTCATAATTATAATGATTTAAGTATTGTATGTAGAAAACCAAGTTAACATATTTTGAAATAAATTATTAATTCATCACCAACATTAAAGGATGTTTTAACATATATATTTGATTTTTGTGTAATTCTCAACATATTTTGATAGGTAGTAGATATGCTGAGTTAAACAAAGCAATTGAAAGGTTTATCAATAAGAAGCACATTTTTCCTGACTACTACGATGTAAAGAAAATCATTCAGAAGACCAATGTCAAGCATCATTTGAGATTGGGGTAAGATGTGCATGATTTGACTTTTTATTTGAGGACACCTATCATTTGGTCTTCATTGGGCTTAATGGTCAGTTTAAAAATAATGTTTAAGTGTAGCTAATTCCCACAAACTAGGCGCCTATAAGATAAGATAAGTGAACATTTACCCATGAATATATACAATCTTTTTGTCAGTCCT